AAGGAGATCCATATAATCCGTATATTTCGATATTATAAATGATAAAACTTCACTAACATTGTTTATGTTGAATGTTATCCGATAGTAAAACAGAAGGGGCAGATTCATTTCAAATGCAAATATCACAATATCGCAAGAATATTAATATATTAATATATAATATATTGTTGGACGTCCTCGACTTCACTCACATATTGGAGGAATACGGAGGAAATACAATTAACAACTCAGACAAATATTAAAATAGGCACACTGAATATTTAATAATTTAAAAAAAAAAACTTCTAATTTCTCAATCACAAATTGGTATGCCTTTGAATTACGATTTTTTCTTTCAGAGCATATACGCTTACTTTTAAGTCACTAGCAATAATAGTGATCGAAATATAATAGAATGTTTAAAATCACTATATATTCATATCTGACAATATCCACGATCTTGGGTATCATTTTGATCGCGTTTATGTTCCAAATTTTAAGTCTCTAGCTCTTTAACTAATTGTGTGTCTGACTTAACAGATAAAGTATGTCCTACTTTGCCATGACTTTTGTGGGCGTATCGAGGAAATGTTAACACTTTATGACACGAGGGTACTCATGAGTATATTAAAAAAATTACAAGTCTCTAGCTTCAACAGCCGCGAAATGGTTTGTGCTCATGCGAATAGGAGAACAGACGGGCGGATAGCATGACGGACATTGAACAAAAAAAATATTCTCGATCACTTCCTGAATGACTATAATTAAGGTTATAAAAGAATCTCTTCCAACTGAGTTCAAAATAAGTTTGTTGCCAACGATGCCGACTGACACGGTAAATATTCCAATAGCTCCAATAGCTTCATCATCATTGGCAAGGACGTTGGATCATCTTCTTGAGATGTAGTCGGTCTTCGCCTGATATATGCCTAACAATGTAATATCGGCAGATTAGTCCGATACAGTTTGAGCACTTTGGTATATAATCACAAACAACGCTATCCGAGATCCATATACTGATTTCCAAATGAACAGTTGATTTACACATGATGTAATTGCAGATTGCTTTCCACAGTTTTAACAACGTTATCGATTTCTATCAGACTTTTGCAGTTAACTGCTATATAATCGCAGGTAGAGTTTTGTTTGTTCTGTAAGGATGTCCCATTCAATATAATATTTAATATTTAGTGAATATATAAATGTGTCAACATTTATACTTCCCTTTCTTATACCTCATTCTTAAATTGAGTCAGTTTACGCCGTTTTTAAAAAACACTAGTGTGAATTATTTTTTTTTATTTTTTTTTTAGTAATTTCATTTCATTAATTTTAATTTTTTCTTTACAGATAGTGTTTACGGTTGCTTAGCAGTCATTAGAATATGTTCAGCAACAGTCTGGTATTGTAGTGTAGTGGGCGACATAATACGAAAATGAGCATGACAGTATTTACGTTGTTGATCGAAGCCCGGATGGATTCAGCGGATTCCAGCATGAGCTTTCGGATGTAGACTACTCTCAATTCTTGGGAAAGAATAAATACATACGGCTTAATAATTTAGTATCATCTAAATTAACTTTACCGTACCATTTTATATTATTTGATAGCCCCGTGGGATATGCTGAAGGTGTTTGTTACTTTTCTTCGATATCTTTTTACATTTCAATAACAGGTAATGAGATCCTAATAAATTGTATCTCAAGTAAAAAAACAAGTTATTTACCCTATTCATTGGTAGGCATAGTGCATTTGTACAGCAACACTGCAACTAAAGTTGATTTACTTTGCATATATGTTAAACACAAGGACAAGCAAAAGAAACTGGACATATCCTACTGCAATTAAGGCTACTATCAATGTAGTTATTCGCACAAACTTGCCATATTTTGTTTTATTTTATAACGTATTTATTTATTGTTTAAAAATATGATATATTTTTTTTGACTTAAATATACGTTTCTAGAGAGAAATTTTTAGAAAAAAGAATAACGTGAGAAAAAAGTTTATGATGAAAAATGTAGTTGACGAGTGTCCCACCTACCCAAAGTTTAATGCTATATAAAAATTATTATCCATTGAGTTTTTCACTCCTGCTAAATTACCAGCAGCAGCAGTTGTACGTTGTGGTCGTCTTTTATAGAATTCTATTTCATCTACTGTCCATACAGCGCCTTTAACATTCTCAACGCGCATGAAGCATTTATGCAGAGACAGATTGTGACGTACTGCATTCTAGAGTTATTCATATGCATCAATTTAAATCCATTATTTAGTAAGATATGCATTATTATATTATGTATAATTACAAGCTATTCGAATATTATAAATTCAAATTAGTCACGTCCATGAAAACGGACATGCTTACGGACGGATCGACGGAAAGATAGACAGAGAGATATAGACACATTAGATTAATACGTCGTCTGATTAATAATCAGAAATAAAACCATACATAGAGAAGGAACATAAATTTATATCGTAACCCAGAAAGGGACATTTTCGACAACAGAATAAAAGTTGTCCAATTGATGACAGTAGTATGTGTAAAACCTATGAATCAAAATTGTAAAGCATAATAATCACAAGTTTTAGAACTATGTTATAATAAAAGATCAGTAAGCTGAAGCAAATGCTGGAAAAATGATCTAATAATGCATAATGCTATCTAATTTCAATTCAGTTAAACCCTGTCTCATGAATAAGCAAAAATGGTCTAGTCGAAACTGGCCGAGTATGTGATATCCTGAACCCTACGAAAAGCTGGTATTCCAATCATTCTGATTCTTTTCTACATAAATGACAACCGACACAGACACACTCACATACTCACGCGCTCTACTTGTTACACAGTTAGCGCAGTGGCTGTGTATATGGGAAATCAATAGTTGAATAACTTTTTTTTAGTGCGTTCCATCAGTTCCATTTTCTGCGCTAAAAGATAGCATCCCGATGTTTATATTTGCTAATACACACTTCTAGCATTTAAAATCAATTTCTGCAAATATGAGGGAATAGAAGAAGACAACCAAAATTCGAAAGACGTAAAGTCTGTGTATTCATTATTGAGACCTACACAGTCTAAAGTATCCAACTTTTACGATATTACCGAAAAAATACAAACTTCTACAGCGTATGTTACACACGAGTATATATATAAAATTTCAAGTCGGTAGCTTTTGTGATTTACTTGGTTACTGTGTTTATAAGGCAGACATGCGTGAATATATATATATATACTTAATGGGGTCTGCCACACCGGCTCAATCGACTCGACTTGTCGTCCTGATCAAGAATATATTTATTTTATGGGGTCTGCCACTCCTCCTTCTGCCTGTTACATACATTTGCACAAAATCGTTATACTCTAATTTCCCATTTTCAATGGGATTAGGGTATAAAAAAACGCCAAAAGAAAGGGAAAATATTGATAAATAATATGTTAACTGAGCACCTTCACTTCTAATAAGTGTAAATAAGTGAATTTCACAACGACTGAATTAACTTGTGCAGATGGCGATCATTTCGCCCATAAGAGGGCATCATGTAAAAAATCATCAAAACATTTTACATAACACTATTGGATGATCGGCTATACTTGATTAAATAGGCATCTTACATATAAGCGGCTTTATTACATTGTAAGAATTGAACAAAATATGGCTTTCAATGTGAAAAATTGCAGAAAACCGTCATCAATTGGTTTCCAGGACAATGCGATTTGGCACACCTGGATAATATTCTCTGATCTACGAATTTAGAAGAGCTTGAGCGGTTATATGAATGATGTTTCATGATGTTTCCATACGCAATGGCAAAAATAGCTTTTATTGAAATTTATTTTTCACCAAACAACAAAGAACAATCAAAATAGAAGCTTTCCTTGACAAAGGATAATCGTGAACAATTTGGATCATAGTATGAGATAAACGCTGTATTATTTATACTGATTACCTTAAAAAAGATCGAAAGACTGAAGATTATTCAAAGACAATTCACGAAAGCACACGTGTGTAGCCAATACGGCAATAATTGACCAATTGGATGACGAACGACCACGTTTTCCAGAAAATTCTCCTGAGTAAGCCACCCATTATTTGAAGTTTCGTGTTTGGAATTACATTTTCAGGACATGAACATGGAAATAAAAGATCCAAATGATCTTAATTACCTATCATTAAAAATTAATGCAATATGTGGTTAAATAACTATAAATGTTATGTAAATTAAAGATTCTAAAATGGGCGTAAATCTTGTAGGCCCTGGATCCATTGAAAATGGAAAATTACGTTATAATAGTTTTATTAATATGTATGTAATAGTCAGAAGGAGGTATGGCACAGCCAATAAATATTATATATTATTTTCAGGACGATGAGTTGAGCCGATTTAGCCTTGTTCGTCTGACTGAATGTTCGCAGCAATCTCGTATTTTTATTTGGATAACTCATCGCATTTAATCGATGATTTGTATTTGTTTTTTACTCGTAGCTTGAATTTAGGTTTATCAAAATACAGAAATGTATATTTTGGATTTAATATACCTCTCCCCTTCACAAACTTACAAAAAAGGCGTTTTGTGATTTGGCAAATACATGCATTTGGATGCCATAATTATTTCATTATGAAAGTTCATCTAGAAGAGAACTTTTGCGACAATTAAGTTCCAATAGTAAAGACAATATTCGAAGCCAAAGTAAGCGGAGCTCGTGTTGTGTTGTTTGCAATGTATGTATAAAATAATCTTTGAATGATTGGAATATCACGACTCGAGCATAACCTATGCTTAGACAAAAAGCCAACTTTCATTAATTTTTAACTCTTTTTAATAACTAAAAATATATAAATTTAAGCATGATAGATTATATATTCCCCTTTATATCTGTTTATTTATATGTTTTAATAATTGAAGTTTCTATGGATTATTTTGCTTTAAAAAATTACAATCTCGAACGTAAAAATATATTAAATAAATATATATTTTTTGTTAAGTTGATATAGCTATATTTTACAGTATGTACCTTCCATGTTGCTGCATTTCTCCGGAAATAACAAAATGTATTTTGAAACCAATTATATATTTCGTTCAACGTCAACTGCTTGTCTGGAGAGTCAATGATAGCCTTTTGTTAAAGAAAGAAAATTTTAATATTAATCTTTAGGTCACTAAACAACAAGTAGGAATGGTGCAACCGGACGCTGAAGTCTGCATAATACTCATTTACGATCTAAACGCTGCTGGCTCCAACATTTTGCAAAACATATTTTTTTTTTCGATTTGCCACCTCTAAAGCGACAAATATGTTTATTTAATTTTTGGTAAGTCAATAGAGGTGGTTAATAATATTGTAGTTGTTAAATTATAATATATTGTATATATATATATATATATATATATATATATATATGTATATATTATATATATATATCTATATATATGTATATATTATATATATATATATATATATATATATTATATATCTTTTAAGATGCCGGTTACAAACACGTGTATATCTTCAAGTCTTTAGCAATAATAGTGTTTAAAATATTACATTTATGCAAAACACATTATAATATGTCGACTCCCTTGTGGACGTAGGTATATACTTCTTTCGTCTATCTGTAGAGGATTTTAACAGTAACAAATGTGCAAAATTTCGACTCTAGCTCTAAAACTCTTAATGTATCCGCAACATCTTTTTGATCTTGGGTTATCTACGCGAGTATCTGTTTTAATTTTGAAATCCCTACCAATCTACCACGCCCCTAGTGGACGTAGTGGGAAAATCTTAAGGCTTTATCAGATTGGGCATCAACGAGCTTAAAATCTAAATTACGTTTATCGTACTTCGTAAATGAGTATAAAAATGTTATGTCTAAGAAAAACTATAGATTGACCTATAAATTACGTTGTCCGATTCTTGAGGCGTCGAATATCATTTTTTAAATTTAAATTTTAAAGTACGAAAGCTCAAATTTGAAGTACTTTTGCTACTGCTTCCTGTCATAAAGAGCAGGTTTAAAGACAACTATAATAAATTTAGTTGTTATTGAATCGTTAACGAGGATTATGCAGTCACTGTAGCTTGAATGAAGTTTTATTACGTACAAACATATAGAATTTGGTGAGCCTTGGTTAACTTAATATACCATATTCATTTTATAGACAGGTTATAATAAACGTTAATGTTTGCTCACCTGTCTGATAAGCGACGCATATGTAAACGGTGGACGAACATCTGCATTTTTGTAAAACTCTCTGTTCCGTTGAATTTCTGAAAATTAATACAAAAATATAAGTAAAAAAATGTAAAGCATATGATAGCTTCTTTAGCGCATATCATGACAAATTATTTATCTTTAGGACCGTATATATATCTTTCGGACTCAACATGGTTTCCACAGACTAGTTTTAGTTTATGGCGACGATCAGCAGAAAGTGGTTTCGACGTCATTTAAACTGTACGGTTTTGGGCGGGGAATAACTATATCTTCGTCTTAGATCTTGCAACGTTCAAACCATGTATAAGTATTTTGTTACCGGTACCACCCGAATGCAATATTACTACTTTATTTTCAACATCTTTTTATACCCTGATCCCATTGAAAATGATCAGGACGACAAGCCGAGTCGATTGAGCCCTGTCCATCTGTCCGTATGTGTGAACGCGTCGATCTCAGCATCTATAAGAGCTAGGACCTTTTGTGTGGGTCCGTGTATAGCACGCGCATATTAAGTTTGTTTTCGAATAAAACCATTATTGAAATTCTGTTAATAAATTATATCTCGAACGGCTTAAGTGCTAGAGCCTCCAAATTTTGTGTCTAGTTTTATGTTGTATTTTATGCAATTTTTATTTTTGTTAGATTTTGGATACCTGTTCCAAATTTCCCCAAATTCTTAAAACTTAAGTTCAGTTGAAAAGAGGGCTATTATGTGAAGGCGTTTGAATCTCTACCAAGACAAGAGAATATGTAAATCATATGCTGAACATTTCATTAAAATCCATTAAGTAAAACAGAAGTTATTAAACAAAACGTTTGGCCAATTAGCAAAAGCACATGAAAACAGCGCCAAGCTCATGGACTTTTCCTATACGCGTTCACACATCCACTCAAATGCGTGAATTCTTTTCTATTCTATTTCTACTTAACTTCAAACATGCAACTGTCTTTCCAAGCAGCACAGTGGCTGTGTTGGTAGGGGCGGCGCTCATAAGCGGTTAGTTCCTGGGTTCGAGCCTGGCGTCGATGGAACATTTTTTATTGCTAAGTATGAAGTTGTGTTGGTAGAGTTAATGAGCGTTGCTTAGAAATTGTGGGTTCGAATCTTGATGTCGTAATGTCAATTTTTGTTTTTTATATGTTTTTTTTTTTTTTTTGAATACTCGATATAAACTACGGAAAATATTAAAATACGCAGATATGACTGGGATCAGGGTATCTCCTAGTCGGGCACCCCGACTAGGGCTTTATTACTTGTTATACCCTGATCCCACTGAAAATGGGAAATCAGGGAATAATGGTTTTTTCTTGGCTCCAAATTTCCCCAAATTCTTGAAATTTAAGTTTAGTTGGAACTGGGGCCATTATGTGAAAGCGTTTGCATCTCAACCAAGCCAATAGGATATATGCTGAAAATTTCATTAAAATCCATTAAGTAAAACAGAAGTTATTAAACAAAACGTTTGGCCAATTTGCAAAAGCACAGCAGCGCCACGCGCACGCATTTTTCCTATTCCAAGAATCGAAATTGCGATTGAATACTGCTTGAATCCTCAGCTGCTACTCAACTTTAAGTTAGCAACTCTTCTTGCAAGAGGTGCAGTGGGTGCGTTGGTAGAGGCAGAGCTCATATGTATCTACACCCAGAGTTCGAGACCGGTGGAGATGAAATAGTTTTTATTGTTTTATTTTTTGTTTTAATTATTGGTAGAGTTGGTGCACGTTGCGTTGTTTTCTTTTTTTTAATACTCGATGCAAACTACGGAAAATATTAATAAACGCAAATAGGACTGGGATCAGGGTATCTCCTAGTCGAGCACCGCGACTAGAGCTTTCTTACTTATTTTTGATTAGGTTTATTATAAGTTCATAATCATTATATTTAGAATAATATATGAAACTTAAAAGTATATACACATAGTGTTGTCCGTCGGCTTGTTCGTCAATCTGTCCGAGTATATGAACTTTTAAGAGCTAGATATTTAAAATTTGTAGGTCCCTATATAGAAAGCGTACATCAAGTTTGTTTCAAATAATCGATAACTATTCTCGTTTTGATGTTATCGACTGAGAACAGTGTCGAACTTAACTTATTAAATTATATCTCGTACGTGTTTGGTGTTAGAGTGTTTGTGTTTTGTTATATTTTGAATACCAGCTCTGAATTTGATCAACTTTATTAAACTGAAAATTACATTTCATTCATTAGAAAATGAAAATATGAAAGAATGTATATTTAAATATAACATGTAAACCATAACATAAAACCACGTGAAAAGCAGCTCCTAGCGTACCCATTTTTCCTATACACGTGTACACATACATACAAATGTGTGAATTTTTTTATTTCTCAGACTAGCAATTAAGAATGAATTTTGTGTCAGCTGATACTTTTCTCTATGTCTGACATTTTATATTTAATATTTTCATTTAGTCTTATACATTATTCATTGTTTTAAATCCGGTTCAAAAACCCACCTTTAAAGGGAAGCTCAATATGTATGTATATGTCAGAACACTAATATTATCTTGCGACATTGTCTTAGCGAAGCGAGTTTTGGTCACACAGTTCTTTTTCTTGTAACTGTCGCCTCACTTAAACGGTACTTTCTAGTAGCGACAACTGAATCAGCCAATCACACTCCTTACAAAGGGTGATGCAGTATCATATAGATATATGCAATACATAAATACAAGTTTTTAAAAAAATTTATCGAAGTCAAATTCCAAAAATTCGGTATCATTTTTAGTTCATTACATTCAAACAGGATTAGCTACGGCTCCTTCTGCGAACATTTTAACAAAACCATTATACACTGAATTATCGCATTTCAAGGGGTTATGGGTATAACAAAAATCTAAAGCTTGACGTCGAACAGTGAGGTTTATACTTTTTTTTCATTGCGAAAATTATAATCTTTAAATATATATATATATATTTTTAAATGAAAGTCAAATATGTGCTATTAGATTCTAAAATTCATTTGGTCAATTGCTTCCATTCAATATTCATTGAATGCAAACCCAAAGGTATTAACTGAAATTCAATTCGCAACTACGATCTTCAGAATCGAAATAAATGCATGTATGAATGCACTTATAGAGAATACGCATACGCTTGGTGCTGCTTGCCATATGATCTACATATTTTATTGCAATATTTGTCAGCTTCGTAAAAACGAAAATTAGTAAGTGTTGCCTATATTTTCAATAAGCCTCCATTTTAACAATTCGGCTTGAAAATCGGTATTGAAAATCGAAAAAAAAAAAATGAAAATTTTATAAAATATACATTACACTTTATGCAAACTTTAGGAAATTCCCGCTCTTAAGTTCTAGAATATATAATTTAATAACTGAATTCAGATAATGCTTTTAATCGTTCAAAATAAAACAGGAATAGTTATCCATTAATAAAACCAAACTTGATAATCTACCGTTTTACAAGAAGTTGTTTACAAACGGAAAAAAAAATAATTTTTAGCTTTTGATGCAAAGTTACAGGAGCTATGAACTTTTTAATGGTAAATTGTTTAATAATATTTATTGAGTCAAATTACAAAAAAAAAAAAAACAAGTAAGAAAGTTCTAGTCGGGGTGCCCGACTAGGAGATACCCTGATCACAGCCATATCTGCGTTTTTATATAGTTTCCGTAGTTTGTATCGAGTGTTCAAATAAAAAAACAAAAACGACATTACGACACAAAGATTCGAACCCACAATTTATACGCAACGCGCACCAACTCTACCAACACCACCACTTCATAACTAAAAAAAAATAAAACAATAAAAAAGGTCTCATCGCCGCGAGGCTCGAACCCAGGGACCAGCCGCTTACGAATTTTGAGAAATTGGAGCAGGTATCCAAAATCCAACAAAAACCAAAATTGCATAAAATATACATAACACTAAAGGCTAATTTATTAACTCAATTTCAATAACAATTAAATGCGGATAGTTGAACCAAACCTGATATGCGCGTGCTATAGACGGACCTACAAAAAATTTTCTGTAGCTCTTATAGATGATGAGATCGACGCGTTCACTCATACGGCCAGACGGACGGACGGACAGGGCTAAATCGACTGTCCTGATCAAGAATATACTTTATGGGGTCTGCCACGCCTATTTCTCAATGTTACATACATTTGCACAAACCCATTATACCCTGATTTCCCATTTTTAATAGGATCAGGATATAAACACGAAGTAAGAGACTCAAAATGCATAGGTAACGGTAGTTATATATTGACCTCGTTATTAAATGTACTTTGAATACCACAAAAGATGTAAGCATCCGATTTATTGATTTTTATGATGAATACCCAGATTATGTATATTTTGGATTAGTAATCAAATTCAAAGACTCTGCTTTGGCAAAAATAAACATATGAATATCAATATTACGCTCTTAAAATTCGAAAATGTATCTACGATTTTTATGCTACTGCTTTTTGTAGAAGCAAGTACAGTTGCTCCAAAAAAGCAAGGTGCGTTTTATAAACTCAAAGTTCACTCGGTGTTTAAGCGAACTAGCTTTTAAGCAGTTTTAATTCTATAATGTCATGATAGAGGCTTGAAGTGGAATCTCAAACTAATTGGGAAGTAAAAGGCAGGATTCATAAGATATGCATGTTTTTTTCGTTTTATATGGACTCGAGAATGCACTTCTTCAGATATTGGCAATATTTCCAGCTTTACCTAAATCCAAAATATAACATAAAAACATATAAAAAATGCTTTAAAAATATAAAACCAAATATAAAATTTGGAGGATCTTGCTCTAGCTCTTAAGCCGTACGAGATATAGTTTAAAAATTGAATTTTGATCATATTTTTAATCAATAAAAATAAAACGGTAATAATAATAAAATAATATAAATAAAATAAATATAAATAAAAAATAATTTCATGACTAACTCTTATAGGTGCTGAGATCGACGCGTATAAACAAACAATTAAGGAGCTTTGCATAAACAACGTTGATACGTCGAAATATTAATATTCAAGTGTTGCGCTGAATTGCAACAAATGCTGAGTCGGCTTGCC